TATGATGGAAATGTTTTATTAAGTGATTCCAATATGGAAGCCAATATCCACATGTGACTACTGAACATTGAAATGTGGCTAGGATGACTAAGGGATTGAAATTTAAATTTTATTTTAACTAATTAAATTAAAATTTAAATAGCTATCTAGTGCTAGCGACTACACTATTGGATAGCACAGACCTATACCCTTCAAAAAAGAAATGATCTAAAATGTTATTTTTTTTTCCCTTAAGAGGGTCTTTTTATCAGTGTCAGGCCTCCTCCCCTTGTCCTATGTAGAAAGCTGTGACCAGGCAAATGGAACGTACGTGATGTGGAAATGGAACTGGGGGCAAGGTAGGTAGGCCAGGAAGCGGAAGTGATGCGAACAACTGATTTCAAGGGGACCTCCCTCCTCTCCCCAGAAATGCTATGGAGCACATACATGCCACATATTGTTAAATAAAACAGAAATGGTCCTCGTAGTCATATACTGTATTATGCTGCAAGTAAATGTGCTTTGTCCCTTCAGGGCACTGGGTGTTTCCTAGAAGATTTACGACATTATATTTTACAGTTCTGCTGTTAATCTAACATTCCCTAACAGACCCTGCAGTCTCTGAAGACAGAAAACTTGTTAGTATTCAATTCTTTCTACTATTATGGCAAAGCCTCATATATACTAGGCAAGCAATAAAAAATAAATTTTTATTATTATAAATGTTTAAATATGTAATTTCTATAAAAGTAGAAAAAGCAGAGCAGGAGTTAGCACAGCAGAGGTTAATTTACAGTGGAGGTCTAAAATGCACCCCTAAAGAGTTAGATGACGATCATATTATACCAGCCATGCAAAGCTTATTCTATGCTATGTATTTTTTGGATTTATAAAGTCACACCCCGTGTGGTCTGGCAAGAATTCTGATTCTACTACGTTAAAACTTTAGTATAAATAATTTAGCTGAATTTTTTAAATATAACCTGCAATAAATTTACATAGTTACTAGATAGCTGCTTAAAGACTAGGATAAAACACTTCATCTGTGCTGAAATAGTTCCAAAGGTTTTTAACAGATTTTTACCTGGGCTGCTTTTTTAAAGTCGCCTCCATTCCTTGTTTATATACACACTTCTTTGGGAACCACTCTGGGTTCTCTCATTATAGCTGATGAGAATGTGTTTTTCAGATGTGAAAAGTGGTGTTGTGGTTAGAAAAAAAAAAAAAAACAATAAAGGAGGGGTAAAAATCAGTCTCCTAAAATCCCATGTTGACAGTCTTCACCAGTTGTGGATGCATGCAAACATAATTCTTACAAGAAGCATAACTGCAAACAATATACCTCTCTTAAAGCCCGTTCTTTAATTAAGGCAGAGATTAGATGTGGCAGTCATAATCTGTAATAATAGATAACATTTATTGAATGTTTACTATGACTATGTTTCAGGCAATATTCTAGGCAGTTAACATGTATTAATTCATATAATCTTCATAGCAAATCTATGAAGTCAATAATATTGTTAATCCTGTTTTCGTTGAGGAAATAGGCACAGAGAAGTTAAGTTTGTACAAGATCACGCAGGGATTAAATGATGGAGTCAAGATTCCAAGCCAGGCTGAGTGACCCCCAAATCAGGCTTAACTACTATGCTATGCCACAACTACACACACGCAGGGAAAGCTTGCTTGCAGCCAACCTAAGAAAAGCATGTTCTGTTCTAATCACTGACTCAAGTTTAACACGTGTACAGCCAAGAGAAAGCAGCAGATTGATTGTAAAGCTTACTTCTGCTTCGAAAGGCAATGAAGATGAAAATGAGGGCTGTAAAAAAAGGTTGGTTTTCTAAACTTTATGTATATCACCAAAACAAAGTGGTCAAAAAAAAAATGTACCCCTATGTTAGTTATATCTGCAAGATCCAATGAAATATTTCTATTAAGAAAATCTAAAATTAAAATGTGAGCTCAGCATTTACAAAATTTTTGCCTTAAAATCTGGAAATCATGTTGATGGAATAATTAGAAAAAAATGTAACAGGCAAGTCATTAACGCCTCATTACCATCCTTCACAGCAGCTCACAGTGCTACAAGTAATCTAATATGTTTACAATTAACTTTGCCTTACAAAATTCTTATTGAGGAGGTCTTTTACCCCATAGCTAAAAACATACTATTTTTAAAATGCCACTTCTATTAAAGGAGTTTCCAAAAACACACGAAATAACAGCAGTAGCACTTACCATGTACTAGAAACTGTTCTGAGTTTTACATGTGTATTCTATTTAGTCTTAATAATCTATTTAGTCTTTAATCCTCAGAACAATCTAGTGAGGTAGGTATTATTATTATTATTTATAATGTACATGAGGAAACTCAGGTATGGAGAGGTGAAGTAACTTGCTCAAGGTCACACAAATGGTGGCGCTAAGATTCAAATCCAGGTATCCTGGCTCTAGAGTATCAGCTCTCAGACCCTAAGTTGTCACAATGAAGAGAAGATACTTTTCCTGTAACACATATATATTATTGAACAAACCCTAGTCATGGCCGAAATGGAATGAGTAAAGATGGCAAGAGGAACTTCCATGCAAACATTTCTCATGGATTTTGTTAAATTATTCAAATGTTCAAGATAAAATAACTTAAAATTTAGTTATTTGTTCTTTAATTCCAGTTTTGCTTATACCCAAATCAGTAATATTTTTCCTTTATTTTTCTAAATGAGGGCTAAATATGAAAATTTTCTAATTTTCTTTTCAGAGCTTTACCCAAAGTTATCCGTTGGCAGTAACTTAAAAAAGCAACAAAGCATTTTTAAAATAGTTGCCTTCCTTATCAGATGTCTGCTAAACCTCTAAAGGAAACTTAAAATTTTTTTGATCCTAATGGCTCCTACATTACCTTCAGTTAAATAAAACAATTTTGAGCTTATTCTAGGCTTAGGCCTAGAAGACTGCCAAATGACTATTCACCAACCACGTGCATCCTAGGTATTAAATACTAACTTTAGAGTTATTCACCTCCAGAGAAGGGTGCACAGATCAGCAAGATTTGGCTCTCTGAACTCTTCTTTTTAGGATAACAGCTGTTCAAAAATCTGAGCTCGTTAAGCCCTTTAAAGGGCCCATTTTGTGTCGTTTTAGGATTATTTCTGGGACACTCTGGCAGCAAAATATACATGTAACTGCCTTTCCAAGCACTTAGATCAGTCATTGCTCCCAAAGAACCAATACTAACGGGGATATTTTGGAAATGTGGGCTTTGTTTGGATGGCACAGATTAATGGCACCACTGGCATTTGGTGGCGGGGGGTGGGGGACCAGGGAAATTCAATGTCTTGCAATGTATGGGACAATCTCACACGATGAAACATAGTTTGGCATCCTGTGACTCTTGAAAGTCCATTTATGTAGGAGAAAAATCATTTATGATTATTTGAACCTAGAACCTAACTTTTCACATGTAAACACAAAGTACTTTTTTGCATAGCTTTAAAATTCATTAAAGTTTCCAAATATGCAACTACCATGTAAATCAAGATTGTACTTTGTTTTGTGCAGAACTCTACTATGCATTTAGCGGGGAAAAACCTTATCAATGAAAATGCTCTTCATGTTACAATAGTCTACATGTAGTAATCACATACATGACCACACATACATCAGAAGACAATACTTCGTTTGTTTTTACCATATATTCCAGGAGTATATATGGGGTTTTTTGTTTTTACATTTATACAGTTTACATTGCTTGACCCATAAATAACACTCGTTTAAGATTAATAGGGCCATAGTTTTAAAGAGTATTTATATACTTCATTGTCTTCTGAAGACAATACTTCATTGTCTTCTGATGTTATGCTCGAGCATTTACATACTGAAATACAAGTTATAAAGTACTTTTTCTTATTTCTGTTCTACATTACAATTATTATATACACTTTAATTATGTGTGGAGACATTTATTTTCACTTCAGGATAGTAAAGGGGACATTTTGTACAAAAAGGAAGGAATGGGTTTGATAGTGTCAGACTTAGATGTCAGCTGTAATACAAAGATGCAACCTGCACAGGTAGAAAATAGCTAAAGATGACAAATGTCTGTTTTCAGTACCGAGTAACCTTCAATACAGTTTAATCAAGTAGAAAAACCTGTTTAGTTCTTCACTTTTACACTGGAACTCCTAATTAAATGACACAGTATATTCTTTCTGATGAAACAATATGTACTAAACTTTCAGATGACTATGCAGATGAGCTGATACCATCCCAGAAAGGCTAGAATCAGTGCTGCTTTGTTCCAGTCCCTCCTCTTCTTCTACCCTCAGATGCTGATGTGTAATAGAAACAGAGCTTTGTTAGGTGGTGGGTCTGCAGTTTTGCTGTGTGGAGAATCGATTTATTACCACCATCCTCCACATTTCATTTACATACTGTTACTCTAAAATAACTTAACATTCTTAACATTTCTCTCTTCACTTCAAAGCCAAATATTTGGTTCACTTTTTGTAGATACAACCTTTTATAAAGGTCAAAGAGCTGCTAAAATAGTTCACTGCACATGACAAACATATTCAAATAGTCAAACATATTTGTATATTGTAATTAATTTTTTCAAGATATTTGTGAAAAATATATAATAAAGCAAAAATTTGCAGAGTAATCTAATAGTAGCCAATGGAAACATAGAATTCTAATTTTTTCTTATATTTTCAACATTCTTTTTTATGTATCAACTTTCCTTAGATTTAAAGATTCAGATTGGCAAATTCAAACTACAGAAATGAATGAGCAAGATTTAAAGATTTTACTTTTTTAAATTCTTAGCAGTAGACTCTACTATGGAAAAAATCAAAATGAACTTGTGGTCCATAAATTGTTGTAAGATAACCTCCACTAAATGTGAATGAGCTGGATAAGATTTAAGTCTTTTCTCATACTTATGTTTCCAGGTAATAAACTTTAAATTTTCTTATTACCAAATGAAAGAGTATGTAAATTTTTCAAATTAAACAAAAGCATTCACTTAACAAATCAGTTTATTAAGATTAAGGTTGTGCATAAAGCCACAATAATGACAATTCAAATGAAGTAAACAGAATAAACCATTTATTAAAACAATGTATAATAAAATACTTTTTGATCTAATGCTATAGTGGTAAACATTTCCCCCTCATTAACATTCCACCTAAAATAGTTAAATTACAACATAATCGGACCAGAACTTGAAAATACTTGTCCTTCAACACTCAATAACTAAACATGAGGTGAGTGCACATCTAGGTTTTCTTCACGAGTAAAAGATAGAGAACAATAACCTAAAAAAGAAATAAAATACCATGTGCCTAAAGGTTAACTTTTATTTACCCTGCTCACTGGTTCCAACTTACAATTCTCATATATCCAATAAATATTTCATGAATCATCCCATTCCCCACAGAAAATAAATATTAGAATCAAAATAAGGATAAGAGTTGGGTTTTAAACTGCACTTTATTTGTTACTATAACAGTGTCTCTTTTTTTTTTTGAACTGATCAACCATAAGCATGTAAGAAGTTCTCTTCTGAATGGAGCTGCTTCCACAGCTCCTTGGATATCAATAAGTAAATTAGAAAGGTCAATTTGTAATTCTCTCCTCCTTTATAGCACTTCCAAGCAGTGTGTGTGACACATACCACAGAGGTAGGAAAGACCATCTTTAATAAATTATCTTCTTAATTGTAGAGAATTTCTTAACATAAAACTGAAAAATGGCTAAACCATGCCTTTGATGGGTTCCCAAAGACCAAAGATCCATTTCCTCTTTGAAGAATCAGGTCCCTGGAGTGTCCTGGCCTTCATAGGGCACTTGATAACGAGATCCACAACTGCGCTGAGAGAGCCTTCTGCTGCTCTCATTTGCCGATTCTCTGGACCACCCAGTCTTGCTGGCAGAGAGGGCAGCGATTGTTCTGTTTCACCCATAGGGACATACAGCAGTTGTGGAAGGAATGATTACATTCTCCCCAGACCACTAAAAGAAAAAAAAGTTATTTGACATTACATATTTCAATTTAAATTACTGAGCTCAAATATATAGCTTATTTTATATTATGAATAATAAATACAGTTCATAATCTCAAAGACAGTCAATTGGTCAAAAAATTTTTTCTATCTATAAAGAAAGAGAAACTTACACGTGTAAATTACACTTAAGAAGTGAGATAAAGAAATGTGCTTGGGGGACTTTCCATCGATGTTTTAGAATTTGTGGATGTGGTGCTCCCCATCCCGCCATTCCTACACAGCTCCACAGGCTATCCTCCTGAAGTTAAGAGATAAAAACCTTGAGCCTTCCTTAGATCTCAGATCTTCTCAGTCACATACTGACCTTGGAGACCTCTGGGGCTTTATTTTACTGAAAAATGTCCTCCAGATTTTTATGTACCAAGATATGAGTTTTAAATATTTTCAGTTCATAGTAGGCTATTAAAAATAGATGACATGCTTCTAAACATTATCAGCTATACATCTACTGAGCTGTTTGCTAGAGGTGGTGATGAGTTGCGTTAAGTCATCCATAAGCAGTATAATTCCTCATGTGACAAAAAATGAAATTTTCAAAGTGGCTGGCTAGAAAGAGAGGTCTCTCTATGATCAAAGAAAGCCAGTCTACACCTCACAATTCCCAAATTAATATTTTTTAAACAAATATCATGAAAGAAAAACTTTAAACTGAGGGAAATCACGCACAATGCAGAATACAATCTTAAAGGTGGGCTTCATCTGTCCCTTGCTTGACCAACTGAGCTATATGACAACCAAGTAATGAAAACATAAGAAAAAAAGAAAAAAGAAAAAACTTCTTATGAAAAGTGGCTGCAGGGAGTAGGAAGCAAGGGGGAATAATTCTAGTGTTTCAGGAGGAAGAACACAGGATTTGATCAAAACTGCATAAATCATTATTAAGAACCTATATGTAAACCACACAAGCATAAAGTACAAAGTTAACCTTTCATTGTAGGAAAACATTTAAACACTTTCATGTAGCAATCTAGAAGTGATGACTTCAAGAACTAGGATATAAAAACCTTTGAACTGCTTAAAACATTTAGTTTAAGAGAACTTTGGTAGGCCCAGACTATTAGGAAAATTTAGTCGATTTTTATATACAAACTATATCCCCCAAAGATCAAGACTTAGAATTTTTTCTACCTTAGTTGAAAAGTTAAATAGTATATCAAAGAGTACTGAAAATTAAAATGCTTTATTAGAATGAAACCCTAACAAAACTGACCTATAACAATCAAAATTCAAATGATGTTTTGGCAAATTCCTTATTGTATAATTTCCTTTATGGAAGAGAATTGTTTATCAAAATGTCTACTATGCTCATGTCTGGAATATATAACCAATTCTTCTTAATTACAGAACTTGAGGATTAATTCCATTAAGGCCTTTTGAGAACCAACACATTTTATATTAATAATAGATCACTGCTTTACAGTTTATTTTTGTGTATTGATAAAGTCAATCTTAATAGCAAATTCAAACATCCCCACTGAGAGAAAACCTTCAGTTGAAAAAGCAAGAGATCGAAATTACAACATACCAACACAATCCTCTTGTTTGTTTTCAGCTTGACATCTAAGACAGGCATCTAAAAGTAAACAAATAGCAATTCTCATTCTGATGCTCAGAATGCAATTTTTAAACCCAGACACTTCAAAGTCAAATAAAAGCCCAAAGGGTTAGAGATGGAGATAAGAGACCCATATTATTACTTTCTCATCTGAACATAACTGTTTAAAGATGAATAAAGTACAAGGCACTCTACTTAAATTTACTCATGACCAGGAGCAATTTCACAAGGGTTACCGACCCTCTAATTTTACAAGCTTTAATAAAAACAAGTCCTGACAGTAGATGCAACCACTAGAGAAAAACAAGCCGTACCCCTCTATATTAGAAGTTTTTATAAGCTCACTTGGCACGCTCACATAGATCAACCTTAGGAGTAGTTTATTTTCAAGACACCCTTTTAAATAAGACACACACATAAGTAGGTATTTGCTTATACATACAAAGAAACTCTAGGATACCTGAGAAACTAATAATAAAGTCTACCTGGGAGGGGACAAAATGGAAAGAAGTTTTCATTGCATATTTTCTTTAACTTTTGAATTATGTGATTGTATAATCTATATAAAAATCAAATTAGTTTAAAAAACAGCTTCTAAATACTAGGTTCTCTCTTTTTTTTCTTTAAAGAAAATGCTCCCTTTACAAATAAGTCTGAGCCCAAAGCATTTACCCAACAATGGCAAAGTATTTTAATAAATTACTTGGGAGCAAATATTAGGAATAGGAATCTAAAGGGTATAATCAGAATTTTTCAAAATTCAGTCTCGAGGAGATAATATTGAATATTTCAAGGACTAAGAAAATAGATTTATTCACTAGCTGGAAGAGGAGTCAAAATTGGGTAGAAGGAAGTTCAAACCAAGAGCCAAAAAGTTTTTAACATAAACTGGAGAAAAATAATTCTGTAAAAATAGACACATGAAGCTGAAGCCTGCTTCTCTTCTTAAAAGGGATTATGCGCAGGCATTTGTTTGCTTCTCTCTGCATGCTTTTACCCTGAAAAAACACACCACCCAGGCCTCTTCAGTGTGGATTATAAACAACCACTGCCTCCTAAGACTTTCTTTAATTCCATAATTACTGAGTATCTATTCTGTGCAAAAATCATGCACTGGAGACACCAAAATGACCAAGTCTGGGTCCCTGATTTCTTCGGCAAATGGGGAGGCAGACAGGCAAAAAGCTAAATATCATGAGGATCATGATATAACAGTGAAGCCATGGCTCTGGTTCTACGCAATCACAGAATTAGTTTGTGATCCCAACTGCCTCTTTTACAAATCAGGAAAAGAAGGCTCCAATAGGTTCTGTCAAATGTCCAAGTTAACATATAGCCAAGAAGGATGACTCTGGCTCTTTATAACTTGGCAGTACGAGCGAGCACATACATTCCCCTCTTACTATGCAGCACTTGCTAACTGTGCCATCTGCTCCTTTCAGAATGAAGGGAGGGGAGTGGAAACCAAGGAAGAGTGTTAACCACATCAGAATGAGTAGACAGGGTCAAGAAGTCATAATAAATCATTAAGGCATATGAGATGAATTCAAATATTAAGGAAATGGGATTAAAAGGGCTCTCTTTATAGAATCTAGGAATCTCTGACTTATGCTTATAGCTTTGATTTAGGTGATCAAAAACTGACCTAAATCAATTAAAGATTCCCAAAGTTTCAGATAAAAGAAAAAAGCTTTTTATGTTCCTAATATTAAAAACAGCACATTTCTAAGGAGTCCAATAACAGTAATACTTTTAGAGTGATGCTAGGGTGAGGACTGGGAAGTCTGAAAAACAAACTTCTTTGCTGTCACCTGACCACTAAGTGGATTTGAACATCTCATAAACAAAATACAAATACTTTTAACTCAAAGTATAGCTGTTGCAAATGTGCAACATCAATCCACAGAACACTTGCTATAATTAGAAAGTCAATGTGAACGAGTGCCATTTAGAGCCCATACTTTGACTTACTTTAAATATCCCAGTAAAGTTTATTTGTTGCAAGAGTTCAACTACTACCTTAAATTCTGCATTTCTACTTACTAGTTAAAAAATTTTCTTTGAAGAGAAAAAGAAAATACGCTTTCAGGAACAAAGAAATTTAGGGGACAAAAATCTTAAGCAAAGCCTGGCTTACAAAATAAAGGAGAGCAATTCTCTTTATTTCCTCCAATTCTCACCTATTTTCAGAGCAAGACACAAAGTTTTTAAACTACAGAAACCTCAGTTTTCTTCACCTACCCTCAAGATACAATATTTAAGGTGCTCTCACAACTTTTAAATGCCCTACTTAAAAATAACAACTTGCATTTAAACAGCACCTTTTTCAAGGTGAGAGCTTGAAACAACATAAAACAAAACGGGATGAAACTGTTCTGAAAGGTTTCACTTGATATATTTTATTACAAATATCATAGAAAGAAGAAGACTTAGTCTGACTTAGAGTAGGCAGTATCTTCTCCAGGAAATGGCATCCTATGACAGGGAGGGTCCAGAAAAGGGATTAAGTTTTATGTTTCTGTAAAGGGGTTTGTTTACATTATTCAATTCCCATGAAAGTTAAATATTTTTGAACCACAATGTATCTCCTTCAAGTCAAGCGAGTGCCGTCTGACCCGTCTTGCATCATTTAGATTTAAATGATTCAAGCAGCACAGCAGTAGCTAATCCAGAAATGCAATGGCTGGGAATACTTCTCTTCCTTGCACTTCTCAAGAGAACTGACGGTGTCGTTTTTCTGGAAGATGACCAGAGCATCACTTTGGTGCGTGACCAGGACCATTAAAGTGCTCTGCTGAATCAGGACCTTTACCCTGACCCCTCTGCGGTTTGCTTTTAGAGATGGCGCTAGAGCTGGCCACACTAACCGAAGTGGCCAGTTCCCAACGAACCACTCAGCTGTATTTTCTTGGTTACACCCATCTTTACCTGAACTTATCTTATCTAATTATTCTGCTTGCTGCCCTTTTCTCTCCCTAGACTCCAGCCCCAGGCGCTGTACGTCTGTTGAGCGACCTCACGGCCCCAGGTGGCGGCCACAGCCCTGGCGTGGCCCCTTGTACCCCGGCTCTGGGGCAGGGCGTTCCCCGCCCCTTCTCCTTCGGGCAGGAGTCTCTCCGAGCCTTCGCCCGATCCCCGGTCCGGAGCCAGTCCCGCGGAGGCCGTGGCGCGACCCGGGCCTCGCGTGCAGCGCTTACCCATCACCTGGACCCTGCAGATGGCGCACGTATCGCACTCTACGTCCCAGCTCCACATAGCCACTGCGTTCCATTTCTTGAGAGAGAACATTTTGTCGCCTCCCGACTTGGAGCCTGCACTCCCGGAGTGAGAGGACAGGGTGCAGGGCTCCTCGCCGTCTTCCACGTCGGCCATGGCGGCGGCGCGGAGCCGGCGGCGGAGACGTTGGGTCGGGGAAGGCGGGCGGCTATGGCGGCTCTGTGGGGGCCCCCAACGAGCCACAGCGCCGCCCGCAGGCCACTTGCTACTGCGACGCCTACGGCAGAGGCCGCTCGCGGTTGGCTGGCGCGGGACAGTGACGTCACCGTACGCCAGCGCCCGGCCGCAGTCCCCGCCCACTCCCGGTGATGGGGCAATTTAGAAGGCTAAGGGCCTGGGGACGACAGCGTAATGAAGTCCGACCGCCGAGCTGTTGAGTGTTACTGTCGTGAGAGCTATTGCATACGACGCAGGAGCCACACGTTCTGCTTTATGCCTTCATGAAACTTACCGCTCTCAGAAATTATCTCGTTAAAATATCCATTTGTCGACGCTCCCAAATGTAAATTCCATCAGAGCAGGGACCATGCCTTCATCATCACCTTGTCCCCCGTATCTAAAAAATATCTGACTACAGGAGGACCAGTTATTTGTTGAGAGAATGAATGTCCTTCATGATCTTCTAGAAATCTGGTTCGATGGTTCTCAAACGTTTGGTCACGGGACCGCTTTACAGTTACAAATTATTAAGACTTTAAAGAGCTTTTGTTTGTGGAGGATATATACTTGCTTTTAAAGAAATTAAAACAGGAAAATTTTTGAAATAACTAATAAACCCTACAAGTTATTATTAGAGCGATGACATCACATAATGTAGCTTCTGGAAACACCACCCAGAGAGAATGAAAAGAGAGAAATAGCTCCGAATATTGTTATGCAACTAGTTTTGACCTCGGAACGGATCCCAGGAACCCCCGGGACCACTATCTGAGAACCTCTGATCTAATTTAAGCTTTTCTACGTAGGAGGAATGAGGTCCTCCTACATATAAAAGTAACTTAAAGAGCGCACTGCCACTGCGTAATGGTGACAGTTTTGAAGCCAGGGTCTATTGCTTGCCCAGAGTCATATAATTATGTTTTCCCAAGCAAAACAGATAACGTCTCCATTTAAAAGATGACAAAGCTAAGGCACAGAGAGCCTGAGGAGATGCCTGATTTGCACCACCACCTAGTGGTGGACACCTGCGGTGTCAGGTTTGGGATTCAAAGCCACCCAGCTCTTACTGGGCCTTCCATCATTCCCTCATCTCCAGGTGTCAAGCTTTGTGCCTGAGTAGGGGCTAACCAAGCTCAAGGAATTTGACAGAGGAGACAAGGACGCATAAATACCTAAAAATATAAATAAAGACATAGGGTCACATTTGACTAGGCGCTAATACATGCTGTTTTTTGAGTGGCCTGTTAAGTGCTGTGAGGGACAGAGATGTTCTGAGGACTGATGCAGTGAGAGAAACCCTCATAGAAGAGGTGAAGTTTGAAATGGGGGGAGATGGGAGGCCCTGGAGGTCAGGAAATGAGTGAAGAAAGCAACCCTCTACAAGCTGTCAGCTGGAGCAGAGCAGTAGTAGTGGCGGCAGTCATGAGTTTGACCACATTAACTTTATGAGCCAGACAAAAATGCCTATAAACAAACCCAGATGAACCATACACAATGCGTGTTCTGTTCATATTAAGTGACCACACGTTCGACTAGAGATGGCTATAAATGCAAGATAGCTGATAAAAAAAAAAAAAAAGGCTGGAACCAGATGAGGATAAAATGCACCCAGTTGGTAGAAATTAAACAGTTTGAAAGAGAAAAGGAGAGAAACTCAGATGAAAGGATGAAAGATAGAAGCTGGTTAAAGACAGGGAATGATACATGCTCATGCCAAGTCTGAACCTCATCACCCAGCCCCTGGATTATTGTGTCCTGACTTCCTTCCTGTCTCTCCTCTTCAGTCTAACTGGCATTCAATCTCATGTGCTGTTTAATTTTCCTATATCCCCTTTTCCACCTGGCACTCTCCTGCTCCATGGCTCTGAATTATCATCAGAACAAAATCTAAATGTCCCAGTTGGTCATTTAAATGCTGCCACAATATGGCCCCAATGTACTTTTTTAGTGTTAGCTCCAAGCACTCCTCCCTGAGACTCTTGTCAAATTGGTCTGCTCAGTCATGTAAACATACCCTGGGCTTTTTTTCTCCCCTCACATTTTAACATCTCCAGAATTGGACAGAATTTCCCCTACCTGCTCTGGCTGGATTGCCCTCTGCACTTAGGAAAAACTTACTCATCTTTGTGTACTCACTGACCTCTCATTGCCACCATTTATTCATGTCTTCCCAGGAAATTATAACAAAATTGTGTTTCTTCTACTATTTTGGCTGGGTCACATAGCAACCCAAAAAAGATGTTTATCCAACAATTTTAAGTTTCAATTGATGACTCATAAATGATAAAAATATTAAAATAGTTAAATGAATATGTGATGAAAAAAAGCAAGTACTCTTAATAGACTCTCCAGAAATACCTATATATTTATAAACAGACACATACTACATCAACTCATTTTTAAAATTTTTAATTCTGGTAAAATACACATAACAAAGTTTTACCATCCTAACCATTTTAAAATATATGGTTTAGTAGTATTAAGTACATTCACATTGTTAGGCAACAAATCTACACACTTTTTCATCTTCCAAAACTGAAACTCTATACCCATTAAACAACTTCCCATTTCCCCCTTCTCCACTTGGCAACCACCATTCTACTTTCTGTTTCTAAGTTTGGCTATTTTAGGTAGCTGTGCAAGTGGAATCATATAGTATTTGTCCTTTTGCAACTGGCTTATTTCACTTAGCATAATGTCCTCAAGGTTCACCCATGTTGTAGCATGTGTCTTAATTTCCTTCCTTTTTTAAGGCTGAATAATATTCCATTGTAGGAGTATGCCACATTTTGCTTATCCATTCATCTGCTGGACATTTGGGTTGCTTCCACTGTTTGATTATTGTAAATAATGCTGCTATGAACAGGAGTGTACGTATGTCTCTTCATGATTCTGCTTTCAAGTCTTTTGGATTTATACCCAGAATTGGAATTACTAACTCATATTACATCAATTTGTTTTCAATATGAAATTTTCACATATACTAGTCTCTAGCCAGCTTTTTTGGTTTAATAGTATTATTAGGACACCTTTCTAGATAAGCACTTACGTATCCACGTTATTCTTTTTAATGGGTGCATAGTATTTCACCACACACGTTTACTGAAATTTATTTCCCTCAGAACCCTTTGAGAGACATTTAGTTGTTTCCAAGGTATAATAAACACTGCTGTAGTGTTTGTTATACATAATTCCTCTATACATAATTCCTTGTGCATGTGTGAGAGTATATCTATAAAATAAATTTCTAAAAGTAGAATGCCTGGGTCAATAGTTATATATTTTTCATTTTGATTGACATTGCCAAAATAACTTTAAAGAAGAATACAGACTTTACACTCCCACCCAGTGGATGTTAGTGGCAAATTTCAAAAAAGGTTTTGTTGTTGTTGTTTTGTTTTTTTAAAGCAGGAACAATTTCTCAGGAGTCCTCATACATTGTATATATAAATTCTGAAGATTTGTTATATTATTTCAATTCTTATGCACTATTGTTGTTTACTTTTAACATATGAGGATCTTGTCTTTCTAGGTAGATGTTAAGAACATAATATACTATATTTACTATACCCATTCCCACTTCTACAGTTAATTTGGTGCCACCAACTTGCCAGCATTTATACATAGAATAAATGATAGTTTTTTAACTTCATAATAAAAAGGTCTTGTCTTCTTTTTTTTCTCTTTTCTATTTTTCTTATGCAGCTGTTGTAAGTGAGATAACTGGAATCATTCAATTTTAACACCAATACACATCAGTAATAACAGCCACTAATATTTATTTTTGAGCATGTATTATGAAACAGGTATTATCCTGGAATGCTTGACATACGTTACCTCATTCAATGCTCACCAAATGAGAAAGGTGCTATTCTTATCTGTATCTTACATAAGGAGAAACAGTGGGGTTATCTGAGTTGCCCAATATCACACATGTGGCAAGCAGTAAGTTTCCATAGAGAATTCTAATTTATAAAATTATTGGGTTTATGCTTTTCATCTGCACCATTTTGTCATGGCATATAAAACTCAACGAATCCAATTTATCATCCATACATCGATCAACCACACCTCTTCCATTTCCCATAGAGTTATTTGACATCTTCACTGGAGGTAAAGTGATTAGAAGTTTCCTCACTTGGGTCAGAGTCCCGTTTTGGGGGATGTTGTCTTTTAGAAAGTGGTTATTATTTTGCAGCATTCCTATCATTCCTAACTACAGATATATTTATGAAAGAAGATTCTTTTTTGGACAAAGATCACGACTTTCTTCAAATTATAAATTTTACGTGCACAAGAGAAGCTCCAGAGAAGAATCCCACATATTTTTACTAAGGCTTATTTGTGAAACCATGTTTTAGAAAAGTGACAAAGATTAAAACTACTTTGAACTTTCATAAAACAGTCTTATCAAAGTTTAAAACTTGAAAGGGGGCTGGTTACAGTGAAAAAATATTATTATAGAACAATCAATATCTTTCTAGGCATGTCTGGCTATGGAAATAGATAACATCCATAAGAAAATATGGCATCCATATTCAGTTTTTAGCCTGTGAAAGAAATAATGAACAGGAAATCATAAATTTAAAACAGAAAAAAAGTTCAACTTCATACAACAGAGAGTAAACATATGTAAATCATTACCCCTTAAGAGGTAGCACATGCTTCATAAAGAGTTTAGGTAAATTTACTATTTCAGACCCACTATACACGAACAGGAACCAGGATGTGGGTAGCCGCGGGTGGGGGAGTTGAAGAGAGAAGTAGGTTTGCACTAATACTTGAGAGAACTATCTTGTTTCTTTACTACTTGTCCCCTGGTACAATCATCATCTATCAGAATGAATTGATGACTTAGGGAACTGTTACATATAATCAAAATTCTCATAATTTTATTAAGTGCAAAATCTGCCGCTGATGGCAGAGTCTACCCCAGCTGAGTGGCCAGGCTCCATATAGCGCCCCCTGGTGGGTGTGACTAATGGACACAAACATCCAAGAACATACCTTTTTCTTCTTTTTACTGCTAACATTAGATTTCT